TGAATCCGTTTTCCTTCTAGTATGTGATTTTGTGCATTAGAGGAGATAATACGTAGTTTTCTCCTGCTTTATTCAAGACATTCAGCTTTAGTGGCATCGTTCATTTATGCCTGGGTACTCTTAGAAGATGGAAGTGAGGAGAGTTGTAATGTTTTTTGTTGTTGTTTGTTTTTATTGGGGAACAGCCATAGTCATTGCTTACACATTGCTTTCATGCTACAATGGCATAGTTGACTCTTTCAGGGAGGGCGCAGCTCACAGTGGCCCATGCGGGGATCGAACCAGCAACTTTGGTGTTATCAGCACCACGCTCTAACCAACTGAGCTAACCGGTCCACCCTAAACGTTTTTATTTTGCAGATATGGAGACTCACTGTTGGGAGAGGCAAAGGGGGCAGGGCCAAAGTCACCAAGAGCCAGGGCAGGAGCTTTGTCAGTCTAGATTCTGGAGTTCTTTATTCAGTAGTGCCAGTTTCCTATGTATGATCTGAGGATCTCAAGTTCCCTAACGTCTCTGGGTCTCTTGCAGGGTGGTTCGGAGTATTAAATGAGATGGTATGTAAGGGATCCCTAGCATGCAGTTTAGCACTTCCTAGGTTCTTAATACAGTTTTGCATTCATTAATTTTAAAGTAACCAGCAAGTAGTTCACAGGCTGATTTCTTGCATCAATGTTTATTGTGGTCTCTCTCGATATTTGGGGGCATAAATAATTACCATGATTCTCAGGGAAGGCAAGGAGGGGTGGAGTCAGGGCAAAATAGCCTCTTCCTCCATTTTGGGGAACCATGGTAGTGTCATTAGAGACGTTATTCAGGGGAATGTGTTGTGTGTAAGAACAGTGTGGAGGCAGAAGAAGGTTGAGAACCACTGAAGAAAGAGGAAATACCACCGTGATATGTCTTTATAGTTATCTTGGCAAAGAAGAGCTGACCTTAGTACTACAACTGGGTAATTTAAACATTAAAAACAAAAACGAAACCAAAAAACAATGGCATAAGTAAGGTTCATTATCTAAAGAGTCAAATAAAAGTGATCCATAAATTAAAAAATTTTGAAAATAACTACAATCAGAACACATCAGAACGTAGACTATCATTAAGCCCGGAACGTGGGCCAGCATGTTCAGATAAAATCCACATACTCTGCAGGCCTCATTTTAGCTGCCATGTTTACTTTAACTTCCTTGTTCACTGGTTCTTGTTATCAGAACTACAAACAAGGAAACTGGTAGATGCCATGGAGTGGTACACTGACCAGGGAGGTGGAGTACAAACCATGCCCTTGATAATCAGCTGTCAAATAATTGAGAGTTAACTGCCCTTGAACCTCCCACCCCCACTGGCCCCTTGTTTGTGGTGACCTGACATCAGAAGATTAGACCCTGAGAGCCGGGGCTGGGCCTTGAGCTGGAAGAAAACAGAAAGCCCTTCACATTTCTATTTTGAGAAGTTGCTAGGGAGTGCCAGCTCCAAGTGTTGAGAATCAGCCTTTTAGAAAGCTTAACTCCTGCACTGCTAATGAGAAACGAAGGTCGCAATCCTTTGGTTTGCCCCGGCTGCTCTTTCCCTAATGCTGGGCTTGGGAAAGAATTTCTACAGGGAGAGGAAGGACTGCTAATGTAAATATTGCTTACACCCAGGGCTTTATTGAACCTCATTTGGTGAGTCAAGTATGAGCTCTTATAATAGCCGTCGGATTTGGGAAGACACAAAGCCCCTAAATCCATTCCTGGTGTGCAGAAGAGAAAATTCCAGGTCATGGCTGGCCCTTCTCCACGGGTACATGTGTGTCCATGTCTTTTATCTTATGATTGTGTCAGTGTGGTTCCCATGAGCGTGTCTTTCTTTACCTAAACGGTAGGCTTCTTTAACAATATTATTTGAACCCTGGTTCCCAAGCAGGCCCAGATGTGTTGACAATAGCACAGGTGAACTAAAGGGTAGGCTTCCGCTGCAGATAGAACGTTTTTCTTCCCAATGGACCTGCCAGCTAGAATGCGTGGTTTGGTTGGGGATCAGGGGTTTATGTAATAATAAGCTTTGCATGAGACAGTAGTAAACAGAGTCGGTCACGTGGCATGGTGAGTAGGGGAAGGGCCAGATTTAGACCCGGCTGGAAGGCTGCACCAAGCTGGGCACGTCTCACACTGATTGCTTTGGGGTTTGCCAGCTCCAAAGGCCAAAAGTGACAGAGGACAGAGGGATGCCCAAGGGAAGGAGACCCTTTCAGGGGCCTTTGGGAAACTAGAAATCTTAGTGTAATTCTATGAACCCGGTTTTCTTGGATCCTCTTGAAAAAGAGATGTGTGGCAAAGGTCTTCCTTAGTAAGGAGGTGAACAGAATCATATTGAGGAACACTTGGAACAGACATATACTGGAGAGAGACTCAAAGGTATTTAAAAGAGCAAAAGGGGCCGGCCGAGTGGCGCAATGGTTAAGAACTGGCTTGGGACGCCAGAGGGCCCCCGGTTCGGATCCCACATATGAGGGCCAGTGACACTGCCCT